AACTAATTCAATATGCTTTATTGTAATGAAAAATACTATTTAAAAAAAAACATTCAACACTATTTGCATAAAAAATTAATAAAGACGTCATCAATTGTACACGTCATGAACAGATTTTTGCCTTAATTTTATATGTTTCTTCTAACAAAGATAACTTCGTGAAAAATGATCAGAATCACTTTTAATTTTCTAATTGCAATCTTTATTAGTAATACTATGTTCTGAGCGAAACAGAAAATAATTTTTTTTTTTTAAACGCGCCAGGTTCATTGTCAAACTTCAAATTTCAAAAAAAGTAAAATATATTTATGTAAAAATAGCTGGCTATGTTTTTGAAAAAATTTAAAAAGTGCTTCGCTCAGAACACTCTAAATAGATGTAACACAAAAAAAAAACAATGTAACACCAAAAAAAAATTGAGCTTAGTAGCTTTATCCAATCAAAAGTTCTTTGTTAAAAAGACCACAAAAATTGTGAAAAATTAAAGGCAAGAAAAACAATAAAGAAAAAATAAATAAAATTAAATGAAACGATAAAACTCAAAAACCAAATTAAAATGCTCCACTAGCATATGTCTCTCCTTCCTCAAGTTCATTTTTATCATTGTGACCTTTTCTAATTGAAAGAAGTTTCTTTCTTCTTTTTTTTACTGAGCTAGTTGACTTTTTCTCAGATTGTTTGACACGACAAATATCAGATAATCTAAAACCTTCTTTAGTGAAATACCCATTGTCTATGCTCAGTTTATTAAAAACTGGAAGCAGTCCTTGGGCACCGTCATTGTATGCAATAACAGCAGATGCAACTGCAGTTTTAAAAACATCATTTCCAATGTATACCCTTTTTAGGCACCGTGTCCAGATCAAATTGTTCAAAGACTCATTGACATTCTGGGTCTCACTGTGTAAACATTTAGTCAGAAGTTCATCACTACCAAGACCTCTGTGAGAAAATATTGGAGCAATAACATCAGAAACAGCTTTATTAATATTAACTTTTTCTTTATATGTTTTTGCTCCTGTGATTTTATCACTTTGGTATCTGCACCAAGAATCAGAGCTACGTGGACAGAACTGATGTCTGTTTTCTAAATTTGGCTCATCTGTTGCGTGGTGTAAAACCGCAGCAACAGCCTTTTTCATCCCATACAGGTTGCCACTATTTTGTTGTATGGCCATTCAAACATGGTTTTGAAGAGTGTTCATGACTTTAGTAGTTAGCCGACCTTTCCCTCCCCTAATGCTTTTACCATCAGTCAAATTTTTTCCCTTGTAATCGGCTTTAAGTTTGCGCAGTCGTGTTCCAACACGTTTTTGGACATGTCCTATACATTCTCCTTTGGTAATGCTATGACCTGGATATGGATTTGATTTACATATTTCTTCAAAGGATTTTGTATCACCATCTCCAATAAAGAATGCGTATCTTAGACAATGAAGACGTACAGAACGTGCAAACATTCTTTTCATTCCTACAACTTCCATAGCTCCAGCACTGCCAATGTGATTTATTGAACATACATGAGTTTCTTTCCAGTTATTATATGCATCTACATTCACTTTTTTTAGTTCCCACATTTCACATTGTTTACATTTTTTAGTTAACACTTCAGTATCGATGCATTTCCCCTCCGAAATTAGTGTAACTACTCCATTCAAGGAAGAGTATCCTCTTTTTTGCCAAGCACCGTCACCACTAACTTTAGCATCAATAACAACAAAATCATCTACAGTTTTGTTAAAATGTATTTGTTTGGAAGCTTCTTTCATTGACTCTTGTGCTATTTGTACGTAGGCATTATGCAACTCGCTATTAATTTCATTATATGTTGTTTTGGCCATTGGTGATGGCATATTCATGCAAGAACAAAATGTTTTTATTGCACTAAAACCTTGACCGATCTCTCTAAATGCAGCAATTGTTTGTATATTAATTTCAAAACTTTTTTTTGTGGAAGTAGACTTAAATTTACTGCACTCTTTTGGAGAACAAAATGTTATTTTCCAATTACATTCGGTGCATGAAATATTAAAAAACTGGGAAAGACCCATTTTATTTGATAAAATATGTTCAATGTCTATTGTTGCAATACAAACAGGGCATCGTCCAACTATATTAATAAGAGACATAAAAAGATCACTATCTATAAAAAATTGCATCCAGGGGTGGCAATCGGAGTATGATTATCAGAAAATGAAACATTTAATTTTTTTCCAGACGCTGATTTTAAATCAGATTTATTTTGACTCAGTTCATTGTTTACTGTTGTTGATGTATTGTTCATCAGTTCATTGTTTACTGTTGTTGGTGTATTGTCAGTTAAAGCTCTTGTGGTAAATCCTTTCCTTTTTCTTGATCGTAATTTTTTATATCTTTTTTCAGATCCCATTCCAAGTAATAATAGCTTTATTGATTAAAATATATATATATTTTGTAAATGAAAGGATATAAGAATCTATAACACAACCTTTATTTAGAAGCTTTGAGTTGAGAACGGTTTTTGAGGCTTCAGTGTATAGCTTATAAACTGAATAAATAGAGATATTTAAAAGAATAAAAAGAAGCCTTTTAGGTGAAAGCTAGATGTTTTGATCAGGTTTTAATCCAGAGATATTTGAAAAAAAGCGTTGCTAAGGCGGTTGCTATGGCCTAAGAACTTAAATACCTTTATCTAGAAGGGTAAATTTTGTATGAATGCATAAGTTTTTTTAAATCAAACCAAGTTTCCACAAAAAATAACACCCTAAAGATCTCAAAAATATAGTTTTTGAAATTTTCAAAAAATTTCAAAAAACGCCTCTTCTTCACCCCGCTACCACCTTAAGTTTGTTCTGGGTTAAGCTTGACTTGAGTAATGCTTAAACAATTTAGGTATCAATAAAGAAAATATATTTAAATACGTTTTGCTTAATACTTTTAAGGCTAAGTATAATAGACTTAAAAAAAAAAAAAAAATGAGTAGCCTCCCCGACTGTAATGACCCCCTCGGGCCTTGGGGATGTGAATAATTTAAAAAAAAAAAAAAAAAAAACTTATATTTTTCAAAATTGTGTTATTTTTTTATGTTTTTTTTTTTAGTTGCTTTAGGTGGTCTAAAGAGTCTTAACGATCTAATCACGAGCATTGCGGAATAACATTTAAATAAAAAGTCCACGCCTCCTTTCTTACCAATGATGCGTATAGAGCCTTCTTCCTTACCAATGACGCATACTTCGAAGTAACGATAACTAATTTGATTTAAGATCTATAAATAAATAACTAAAACAAACTTTTGAATAATTTTACGCAGAATTATAACTACTTATTTTATTTAAGAAGCCAGTTTATGTAGGTTGAAAATTTGGCTTGAAATATTCAACTTAAAATAACAGGTTTAAAGTAACAGCATAATTAACATAATTAACTATAATTCTTAAACTTATAATCATAGCACGAAATTTCAGTAAACAGGAAAACAAATAAATGGTTTCGGCAGGACTCATAAATATATAAACATGTAATCTGTTAAAATAAATAATATATATCTAAAAAAATTACAAAAATCAAAATGTCCCGTAAGTAACGGTGGAATTGCCCAAATATAATTTTTATAATTATCTTTTTTTTAATTACTGTGGATATAAATTTTATAAGAAAGTTTTCTTTCAATTTCGTAGATATTTCTAAGAGGGTTTTTTTTTTAATAAGTTTTGTTTATAAAAAAGTTAGAAAGTTTTAAACAAACGTTTTTTTTCATGACGACGATGGAAAATATATATATTTAGTTTGGTTTATATTTATAGGCTTATGTTACGCTCTATATATGATAGCTTATGTTTTTTTGTGACTCAAATATGCCATGTAGATGGAATAGCAATTTTTTATGCAAAAAATTTGACTTTTGGCAAATCATTGCCCACTGAGAGAAGCCTTAAATACAAAGCAAGTGTTTGTTTTTTAAGTTTTCAAAATGCGTTACAAGCAAAAAATAGCGAAGCTTTAACAGAATATAACTGCAACAAGTCGAACGTAAATTATCTTGCGTATGTCCAATACCATTGTTCATGATGCATTGCTGCTATGCAGTTGTAAGTCCTATTGCCCGTGTAAACCTTGAAAATAAACATTATTGGCTATAAATACCATCACGAGAGTAAATAATTTATAAAACCCTTTAAAATTTTAAATCTTGCTTTGTTCCGTTTGCAATGACGCTTATTAATACCACAACATAGGTTATGAAAAAAGTACTAAGTTTAATGTAGTGACAATAGCAAAAAAAATATTAAACAATATAAAAAATATTAAACAATAGAAAAATTATTAAAAAATATTAAACAATAGAAAAATTATTAAACAATAGGAAAAAAAAAAAATTTTTTTCAAATTTTTTTTTTTTGAATAGAAATGATTTTAAAAAAAAGCGTAAACTTATATGAAAATACTTGCAAAAAAATATTTTAAAATGAATTCATACGTTTAAAAAGAAAACATTTAAAACTTTATGCACTCTAGAAATTACGTATGTACATACGTATGTACATTACGTAATTACGTTCAGTAGTTGTACACTTATACCATTAAAACTTTTAATGGTCTAAAGTTTTAATGGTTTAAGGTTGTACATTACGTAATACATACGTAATGTATAGAGTATTTGTTAAAACAAATAAACATTTTTATGCTACGCTGTTAGACAAACCTACGACTTTTTAGATGAAGTATACATTGGAATGCGTAGAATGTGAGCAAGTTATTAATTAGGCTTCTCAAAATCCGGTTATTTATGGAGGAGCCCCCAGTTAAAAACTTTTTTTTTTTTAATTTGTACCGCGCTCTCTACACATAAATAAGTTTTTTAAAAAACCCACCATAAAAAAATTAACCAGGATAACTTTCAAACAGTTATAAAGTATGTTAAAAAAAAATTTTAAGAGACAACTAACTTTTTTTTTTAAGACTAAAACTAGAAACCTGCGGTACCTTCTATAATAAAATGTGGTAATAATAAGAGGCCATACCTCTAGAGTTTTGAGCATACCAATCTTCGCTAAAAACTATGCTTAAATAAATTGTTAAAAAGAAAGAAATAATATATTGTCTTTGAGTTGATATGAAACTCATTTTCTTTCACTAAACGTATGTAAAACGCGTTTAACACCATGCAAAACATTTTCCACGGTTGGTTGATCAAGATTTTGGTTGGTTGGGCACGACTGCACAGAAAAGTATAAACATCCAGGCTTATATAAATATATAACAATACAGCCTGCCGTTTGTTTTAAACTGCTTGATTTTTATAGTATAATATAATTGTTAAAGAAACGCTGCGTTACAACTATTTTACGGTGCGTTTATTCATAAAGCATAATCGAGATAAAAACTGTTGTATTTTAAAAGCTATCTTCAAAAAATTCAAAAACAAGTTTTTCTGTAAAAATTTAAAAGCATAAAAAAAAACAAAACAAGAAAACAAACATGTTGGGAGAAAACAGTGATATGAATAAACAAAACTACGAGAGACTAGATTTAGCGGCTATAACAGTGTAAAAAACCTTACAAAATTAGCTTTTAACTAAACTAAAATACCAAGTTATGTTATTAAAGTACAAGCAGGGTCAGTGCTACAGTAAAACAATTTAGGTGCACGCTTAATGCTCCAAGTCCTAAGGAACAAAACAAAAACAAAAAATATGTTTATGTTCTTTTTTACGGCCGAGTGAAAAAGCAGCTTGCTAGTGCAAGGGGTAGTAATAGTAATTGGCAAACGTTTTAGGCTTTATACACGGTGAACGGGTTTTTTTTTTTTTTTTTAATATTTTAGTTTACATTTGTTAGTTCGTTTTTACAATATAATGAGAGTAAATAAAAAATTAATACAAATTATAAAGTAAGCAAATACTACTAACATTTGAAAAACTAGGTATCTGAAAGAAGATCTTATCGTCAGAACCTTATACTTGTGTAAACAAAATATTATATTATAAAGTAACTATAAGTACAACAAAATAAAAATAAAATATGCATACATATATCACTTTGTATATAATAAAGTTTAATAAATATTTCCATAATATAAATATTATTGTTAAATTTTGATAATACGGGAGAGAAAAAGATTTTTCAGCTTAACTTTAAAAAGATGCAAAGAAGTAGGTAGATCAAAATTAAAATTAGGCAAAACAATTTTGTTCCAAAGATGGGGTGCACGATAATCAATGCAAAATTGGTTAAAACTTGTTTGACAAAAAGGCTCATATAGAAGGTCGTTATTTCTTAGAGAGTATTTATTGGTAGGTTTCAAAGTAATTAAATCATTAAAAACGGCAGGAGAAAGATTGTTTTTACATATATATACAAAGCATAAAATATTTAAAATATTAAGTTCGTAAATATTAAGTATTCTCATTTCAGAAAAAAGATGTTTATAGTGAGAAAAACGATCAGCAAAGTTAATTACACGTATTGCATGTTTCTGATGGCGATAGAGAGATTGTAACTTACTTTTTTTAGTGCTTGCCCAAGCAATATTTGCATAATTCATATAGCTACGAATGAATGCATAATAAAGTTGGGATAAAACTTTTTTATTTATATAGATTCTGGCCTTATAAAGAATTCCAATATTTTTTGAAACTTTAGTACCAACATAATCAATATGTTGCTTCCATGTGATGTTCTCATCAAGGAATACGCCTTAAAATTTTGTGGTGCAACCTCTTTTTATTTCAATATGATCAATAAAAATATCAGGTAGAGTTGGGGGTAAATAACGTTTTTTAGTTATCGAATGAAAAAGAATCCATTTTGTTTTTTTAATATTTAGGGTAAGTTTATTGCATTTGAACCAGCTAGAAATTATTTTGAGTTCTTCATTCATAGTAGTGAAGAGTTTATTAATGTTATTATCAGATAAAAAAAAATTAGTATCATCCGCAAACATAATACTTAAAAGATTAGAAGCTTTATGCAAGTCATTAATGTATATTAAAAAAAGAAGTGGCCCTAAAATTGATCCTAGCGCAACACCACATGAAATATCTAAAACATTTTTTTGATAAGGATTGTTAAAAGAAACGAATCGTTTTCGGTTTGTTAAATAACTTTTAAACCACTTCAAAATTACACCATCCACTCCATAATATTTAGGTTTATGAATCAAAATATTTAAGTTTAAAAATCAAAATTATTTACTGTATCAAATGCTTTTGATAAATCCAAAAAAATACCTAAAGTGAATTGGGAATTTTTGAAAGAGTTGGAGATTTCACGGACGAATTGAATGATTGCATGCTCAGTAGAACTATTTTTTTTAAAGCCAAACTGATTTTTATAAAAAAAATTTTTCTCCTTAAAATAGGTATATAATCTATTGTAAATAATTTTTTCTAAGACTTTTGAAAATGTTGATAAAATAGAAATAGGACGGTAGTTACATATATTAGTTCTGTCTCCTTCTTTGTTTATTGGGATTATCTTAGCTATTTTTAACTTATCAGGAAAAACTCCTTGTTGTATTGACTCTCTGAAAACTTTAAAGAGAATATCTTTTAATTCTTAAAAGCATTCTAAGTCTATGTTTCCATTTATTTCATCAGCTCCAGGGGCTTTGTTTTTTTTTAATAGATTTAAACGACACTTGAAACTCCTCAAATGCAAAAGCTCAGAAGATTAATTATTTGAACAAATGCAATTATCCATTGGTGTTAAAAAGTTATTGAACACAACTTGGGTATTGGGAATTTTATTTGCTAGTTTCGAACCATATATCAATAAAGAATTTGTTAAACTCATGAGCTATTAATCTAGGTTCAAAAATATCTTTGTTATCCACTCTAATGACCTGCGGTAGGGAACCTGAGCAAGTTTTTGTTTTCCACCAGTTTCTCTTAATATTTTCCAAGTACGTTTAGAGTCGTTCTAAACATTTTCAATTAATTTCGAGTAGTAATTCTTTTTTAAATTTTTACGTATTTTTTCAAATAGATATTTGTAATCTTTGTATAATTTTTCGTTTAAAGATGTTTTTGTTTTTAAGTAATTTATATATAGCTTTTGTTTGATCTTAGATGATTTTTTAAATCCCTTAGTTATCCAAGGAACATTTAAGCTTTTTTGATTTATTGTTTTTTCACAGATGGGAAAATTGGCATCATAGACAGAATAAAATGTTTTAAAAAAATTTTCATAAATTTTATTTGCGTAGTCATTAAAATTTATATGCTTCAAATGAAGCAGTGATAATTGTTTTTTAAACTGTTCAATATTGTTTATATTATATATGCGTTTACTTATTTTATTATTAGTTTTGGTTTTAATTTTAGAATTTGAGTTGAATGATAGAAATATTGGAAAATGATCAGTTATATCTGCTTTCAATATACCTTTTTGTATATTGTTATTGAAGACATCAGTTGTAATAATGTTATCAATGAGAGTTGCTAAGTTTGCTGATACTCTAGTTGGACGATTAATTAAAGGAATTGCTCTTATTTCAAATATTAAATCATAAAATTTTTTTATTTTACAGTCATTCTCGTAGTTTAAAAAATTCATGTTTAGATCGCCAATAATAAAATTTTTTTTTTCTTTAATGCCTATTTTGATAACATTTTGCTCAAAAAACGTGCTCAGATTCTCACTCAGACCGTCAGGTGGTCGATAACAGCAGCTTAATAATACATTTTTAGATTCATCGTTTAAGATTTCAATAGTTAAAATTTCTTTATCGCCGTCAGAAACACTTAACGTAATGCGCAATGGTTTCTTTCACGTAAATAAGAACTCCGCCACCGCGTTTATTTGTATGTCTCTCTTGGGATATTAACTCAAAACGGTGAAGATAAAAGTTTGCGTTATTACTTAAATCGCTTGCGTTTATCCAAGTTTCAGTTAAACAAATAACATTTTTAGTTTCTTCTAATAAGTAACGGAGCTTTTCAAAGTTGTGACTTATGCTTCTAATATTTACGTGAAGGATTTTAATTTGTTCGCTGTTATTGAAATTAAAAAGAGATCCTTCTATTTCACTAGGATAATAGTAAAAGCAATCATTATTTAAATCATGAGAATAATTAGGGTCTTTTTCTACATTTATATGTATTAAAGTTTTTATTTTTGAAAAGTTAAAAGCTTGATGCTTAAAATTGCTAATTTCAGCCATTCCAGTGAGAGTTAGAATCTCCTTTCATTTCCGCGACTACATTATTTTAATTATGCATATCTTTAACAAAAATTTTATCAAATTTGATTACTGCATACTTACTTCTTTACGATGTCTTTTAACTTCTTCCCACAATTTTTTACGATGTTCTAAGGTTTTTTTGCATAATCTTCATTGATAAAAATTCCAGTGCCCTTAAGTTTTTTCACAGATGTTAAAATTTTGCATTTATCATTATAATTTAGGAGTTTAAGGACTATAGTTCTTGGTAGCTTGTCTTTAACTCTTCCTATTCGATGGGCTCGCTCAACCACTATATCATCGGCAATTCCAAGCTGGTTTTTAAAGATCTTTTTAACTGCTCTTGCACAGTCATCCCACGTTTCAGACGATAGTTCTGCAACACCATCAACTCTTAAATTATTGCGGCGAGATCTATTTTCTAGATCTATATATTTTTTTTCAAAGTATTTATTTCTTCATTGATCTTTTAATTTAGTTGAGACAACATTTCCTTGATGTTTTCCTCTTGGAAATTAATACTATCTTTAATGTCGCTAGTATCTTTTTCTAGTATTTCAACTCGGGATTTATTAAAACTAAGTTCTTTTTCAAGTTTATCTAGTCTGTCTGATATTATTTTTATGTTGGAACTCATTATTTTTGTGAAAGTTTCTTCTTGTTTTTTTAATAGTTTTTCAGTTTCTTTTAAAAAGTTTTGCTTCTGATCTTCAAGCTTAGATATTAGTTTCTCAATATTTTTCATTGATAGATCCATCTTCGCACGGTTAAAAACAATAACGACTCACTCAATAATCACCTTTCAAATCCGGCAAACAACTTTAAAAGCAACTTTCACTAATACAAATTTAAAAGAAAAAAAAAAAAAAAAACACTTTTTCTAAAAAAAAATAAAAAAACAACGGTTGAGAAACCAATGAGATGAAAGGTCGTTATAAAAGAAAATCTTCACAATTCCTACTTACTGACTTCTCAAAGAAGCTCCTGTGTGATAAATTATTTTTAAGATGTACAGGCAAGACTATTTTACTTATGTAATATCGCACTTAACGAACACGTACATATATCCGCACTTTACGTAACACGTACATATATTCGCACTTTACGTAACACGTACATAATAAATCCAAATAGAAGTGTCATCAAGAAAATTTAATGTAGTCTTTTGAAATACAAAAGATCAAATATTAAAATAAACAGTATTTATGGTAATCGTAAATATATCATAAAATTTTAATTTTTTAAATTTCATCAAATTTTGTTAATCAGTGTTCTTTAAGCAAATAAGTTGCAAATAGTGCATCTGATAAAAGCAATCGCACTTGTAAGCTGTTTCATGTGGTACCGTCATGTGGTAGGAATCACACATTGTATTGTTCTGCCAGTACTATTCGGGAAACTTTTTTTATTACTTTACGTTCTTATCAAACTGACCTTGTTTTTTGACTACATTAGCACAGTGATACGGTCGTTAAAAAATACCTGCTGCAAAAGGGCATTAAATACTTTGCTTAAACGGGGTAAAAATTATTAAAAAAAAAAATTTATGTCTGTAAAACATTTTTAATGTCAATTTAACGCGCACCAACTTGCAGAATAATTATAAACCTTTATTATTATTATAATTATAACTTTTATTTGAAAGTCTTATCTACAATGTTTTTGTTGACACAACATGCATGCGCAATATTTTACTATGATGCCGTCAAATCTGATATTTACAGCTGTATATAAACAACAATAAAAAGAAGCGAAAGCGTTAGTAGATTTTAGTTCAGCTATGAATAAAAATTGCAATTGACTTTTGAAGCTCTTTGTAAGAAATACGTATTATTCCAAAAAACAAATTATTCTCAGTCATATTTTAAAATTTATTAAAGGGAAAAAAAAACGAATCAGATTTTTGTAAAAATGAAAGTTAAAATTACTATTCTGAAACAGTGCTGCGTCTGCACGCAAATACTCCATAGCTTTTCAACAGCGTAAGGACTTGACTTCATTACTGAAAAGCATCACATTGCGATTCTCCATAATATCGTTATTACCATTTCTTTAATCAATGCCAAAATTTAGGCCTCTTCTTGCGCTATTCCATTTTCTTCTGAATCATACCTGCCATAGTCATAGTTTCTATCTGAGTTTCGTGTATCTTCATAAACATCTTCTTCGGGTTCTTTTTTTACGTCATCATCAGGACGCACATTTTCACGATCACCGCGCCTATCTCGGTCCCTATCTCTTCGATCTCGGTCTCTATCGCGTCTACGTTCACTTCGATCTTCGCGATCGTCACCACGATCACGATCTTTATCACGCCGTCTAAAACAAAATTTATGTAAAACATGTATATGCGTTCAAAAGTTCAAAATGCAGTTAGCAAAAAAGTTAAAAAACAACAGCAAATACTCCAATCACTTGGGTATCTGCCGCATCTGGTTTAAAATGCCTAAATTTGTATTTGATACCAGATTGGATAAAATCAATTTTTTATAGGTTGGGAAAAGTTAACACGAATATGAATGTAATACATATAAATATCTATACTCATCAACCTAATTCATTATGTGCTTTAACAGCCTAATATAAAGAATAACTCCAGAATGAGCAACAGATATGGCAAGATATAACCGGCTTCTAAAAATGTTTCCTTTTTTATACAATTAGCAGGTGGCATCTATTATAGGATCCGGAGTAGTAAAAAAAAACAAGCAACGAATTACAAAAACAGCTTAATACTTGAAGAGCCTGAAAGACCCTTAAAATATATATATATATATATATATATATATATATATATATATATATATATATATATATATATATATATATATATATATATATACACAGGGGTGGGACCGCAAAATGTGAACGTTTTTGTTTTATTATAACTATTTTCTCGTTAGATGTAGTTGTACTCTCTCACTCATCAGAAAGTGTCTAAAGAGTTGGTCTAAACGTTGTAAAATGATCTACGAGAATCAAGGAGGTCAAATTGAACATTTAAAATAGTTCATATTAAACAGAAAATTAATTATTACAATCAGAAAAGTGTTCACATTTTGCGGTCCCACCCCTGTATATACAAAGAAGGACATAGCCTTCTTCTAGAGCATCGCTTTTCCTCTCAAATTACACCAAAAACAAGATGGTAACAATGGTAGCATATATGTATAATAAAGTTAAAGTTATTATTAAGGTTAAAATAAAGAACTTTAACAAACAACTGCCAAAATCTTATAGATATAGTAACATAGATATAACTAAAACACACAAAGCAATTTTTATCTAAAAGAAGAAACGTAGAAGAGTTAAAATTTGATAATTATAATAATTTTTTTTTAAAAAAAGATGTTAACAAAGTATTATTTTAAATCTGTGTTTAAGTCGGACTGAAAAGTAGGCAGTTTTTATTAAAAGTAAATCAATTAACTTATCTTAAATGGTTAATAGGAAAATAAATATTTTTATAACATTTTAATTATAATTCTTTTAACGAAAAATGTTTTTCTTGAAACAACAAATATTCCGATGAAATTCCAAATCATAACTAAACCAAGCGTTTTTAAGTATCAATTTAACAATTAAACTCTTTAGAACTGTTGATTGAAAAATAAATAAAAATTTACATGTTTATTTAATCCAGGTGATGCCAGAATTTTTTCCAAATAAAAATTTCCTGTCAGCTTATTTTTTGCAAAAACCAAGTGATACAAAACTAAGCTTTGGGCGTAAAGTTAAAGTAATCTATGTTGCTTAATTTTTGTTTATTAGTATAAAATCATTAAAAAAAAAAAACATTACATTAACTACGTAAAACAGTATTTACAGCAATTTACTGCTAATTAGTATAAATTTACTCTTTCTTAAAACTGTAACTATGTTATAAAACCAGAACTTGCTGGTACTAGGTAATAATGTTTCGCAGCATATCATATTTTGCAGTGCATTTAACATTGTTAATAAAAATTAAAACAAAAAAACAAACCTTTCACTTCTTTCACTTCGTTCACTTCTGTCGCGTTCACTTCTGTCGCGTTCTTTTCGTTCCTTTTCTCTTGGTGAGCGACTCCTTTTTCTTTCTCGACGCTCGTCTCGTTCTCTATCACGATCCTTGTCTCTATCACCACGATCTCCACCCCGACTAAAAATAGACTTAATCTTTAATGATATGTTATTGCTACATTAATTAACCACACAAAAATAATCCTTTTGATAATGCTTTAAAAATCTACGTTATAAGAGACATAAAAAAACTCCATAAAAAATAATCACTTGTAAAACAAGCGTAATGATTTAATGTATACCTTTCCCATTGATCAACACGACCTGAATGTCTAATGTTGTCATCAGGACCACCTCTTCTTGTACCCCCTAGACCACCACCTTTAAAAAAAATGATTGAAAAAAACCATAAAACTATACACTTACATAGAGAAAAAATAATTTAAAAATTTTTTGTAGCAGTTATAGATCTCTTTCATATATAGATACTACCTGCCCAACCCCTTACTTTTAGTCAATAAAAATACTAATATCCCTTCATATACTTTTTAGGAATGGATACAGTGATGCTTCATGCACAAATTAGTATACATTAGAAGTTTATACACACTACTGGTTAGACTCAAAGGCTATAGTCTGTATTTAATACTTGAAGTCCACAAATAATACAATTTTATTTCTTAATGATAATGTTAGAGTTATTGTTGTTTAATGTTGTGTAGATTAGGTGTTGTTCAATGTTGTGTAGATTAGGTGTTTTTTGAAAATTTAATAAATTCGTAAAGGAATAACTTAGTGCCTTTTTAAAAAGATATAGAATCATTGTTGACGAAATAAAATCCTTTAACTTAAAATTATGGAAGAACATGCATACTTATTACTGTTGACTTGATGTTATGAATTGTATTAAATTGTTTAAAAAAATTTATATTCATGTAACGAAACTGATTATGTAGATTTTAAATATTTTTGACATTTAATATGTATTTACAATTTAAGTCATAATTATAAATAGACTTAAAACTTTTGTTAACCAAACTTTTGTTAATTATATTTTGTAATATAGATAATGCAATTGTACCCTTTTGTTATGCTGGCATCAAATTGAAAATTAATAAACATTAGGTCAACACAAAACCTCCAAATTCAAAGATATTGCTGACAAAGTATTAGTGTAAACATAAATTTACACAAATAATTTGCCGTCTTTCATAGACATCAAGCCTTCCCAGGAAAGGCGTGCGGTTTTTTTTTCTCATACGACCACGAAAACGTTTTTAAAGTTAAAGAAAGTGATCACGGTCATTTATGCAAGTTATATTATATGCGTTTTAGGCGTTTAAAAAGGATGACTTTGCCATATTTATGTGTTTTTTCTTTTAAAGAGGAAAGAGAAAATATGTATTGTCATCTGTTTGTAAAATATATTTGTATAATTATAATGTAACAAGTTTATATTAAGAGTTAAATTATACGATCGCGTTTGCAAACTCTGCTAAAATATTAGGTCTTTAAAATTTTAGTTCATGCAAAGCTGTGTACTTTGTTTATAAGGAGCAAATTATTAAAAGTTTGTTAGCGAAAGTTACAAAAAACAAAACAAAAACAATAAACTTACGACTACAAAAGTAATAACACTTTAGTCACTAACTGCATTATAAAAGTAATAAAACTATAATAGTGTTATTACATTTATAAAGCACTTATTACTTTTAAAGTTCATTCTTTGTTCAAACAACATTATTAATTCCAAACATTTATTAAAGTAGAAAAGCATCTAGAAAAAATAAAGCGGATATTCAAATATTATTAAAAAATTCAGGAACTTTCACATATCACTTAAACAACGTTATAAAAAAGTACTTTATAAAAAGTATAGCATTATGAAAAACGTTACGTAAAAACGTGCTTTAATTTTAAAATCAACCAATGAAAAATTTTTGTTTAATTTTAAAATTAACGTGCGTTTTTACGGTCCATTAGTAACGTTTTTCATAATGCTAAACTTTTAATACGATTCCTTTTCATTAAGTTGTTTGTCACGATTATATAAGTTACTTTAGTTTTAATATTATTTGAACATCCACTTTATTCTTCTAGATATTTTTCTACTTCAATTAAAAATTGGGAATACTAATGTTGCTTAAACAAAGAATGAATTTTAAAAGTTATAAGTGCGTTATAAAAGTAATAACACTATTATAGTGTTATTACTTTTGTAATGCAGTTAGTGACTTGAGTGTTGTTACTTTTGTAATCATAAGTTTATTTTTTTATTTTTTCGCTAACAAATTTAAGTTGATTCTTCCCTTATAAACAAGAAACACAGTTTTGTATAAACTAAAATTTTGAATACTAGATATTTTTCCAGATTTTGCGTTTTGCATTCGCTTAATTCAACCCTTGTTGTTACATTAAAATTATACAAATAAATTTTACAAACACATTGAAATTTGTATTTTTGCTATCCTCTTAAAAAAAATTAAGAAAAGGAAAATCATTCATTTTATTGTAGACTTCAAACCGTTTTTTTTCGCTTCGCCTTATTTAATTTTGTTGCTGAATGTAACTCTAAAGAAACAAAAATAAAAACAGCACACAAATTATTTAAATTAATATTTTGTTTTTATTTTTTTCTATTTCAATCTCTTTTTATTTTCAGCATTATTTTAAAACTTGCAAACGGCCGTGTTCACACTTTCTAAAATATTATAATCGCGTGTGGTCATATGAGACGAAAAACCGCACGCCTTTCCTGGGAAGACTTGGACATGGCTGTAAACACTCTTCTCTTCGGAATTTGATTTAAGCAAATAAAAAAGGTCTGCTCACAAACTTCTTATTAGGCTGGTGGGCAGGATTTAATAAATTATGCATATTATAACTTCATGAATGCTTAAGGTGTAAATGTTTGGTTATTGTTAACTATTGATTTTTAATAATAAACTTTTAAAAAGTTTATTATTAAAAAATTTTTGTTACTAATAATATACAGTACAGACACTAGCAATAAACAACTAAAAATCTAGAAGTTAGAAGTTCATAATATCAAATAACAATTCACAATAATACCTATTGACTTCACTTACATCATGGAAACTAGCAAGAAATTAATAAAAATGCCAGATCTTATTTCAAGGTTAATGTAAGCAAAAAAAACTTTTAAATATATACCTAATCTCCTTGGTCGCCAACTTTTAACAGTTCTACCTCTTTCTACATCAACTACAATACGCCGACCATCAATCTTCTTTCCATCAGAGTGTTTAAATGCCGCTAAATAACAAAGTAAATTTAAAATATTACTGCAAGTGTACTTTAAAACACTACTGTGACCTTAAAATAATAGTTTTGTAATATGTAATATGTTATATGTAATATATATATATATATATATATATATATATATATATATATATATATATATATATATATATATATATATATATTATCTATATAACAAATATTATCCATATAATATATTATCTATCTATATATAAAGTATCTATATATATATATATATATATATATATATATATATATATATATATATATATATATATATATATATATATATATATATATATATATATATATAAATATATGTATGTATGTATGTATGTATGTATGTATGTATGTATGTATATATATATATATATATACACAGGGGCTATTCTAGAAAAAAATTTGGCGGCAGTATCCCCTTGTTTTGGCGGACTTTAGCAGATTGGCGTTATCTTTGCATTTCCTCAAATTTTAATTTAGGCAGCACCCAAATCAGCATTTAAATATGATCGATGCTGTTGAAAACAGTCTAGAATAGCCCCTGATTTATATATATATATATATATATATATATATATATATATATATATATATATATATATATATATATATATATATATATATATATATAATATATATATATATATATATATATATATATATATATATATATATATATATATATATATATATATATATATCCGAAATTAGGAAAAAAGAGGTTGGCAATTTGCTGACCTCAATCTTTTAGAGGTTAGCATCAGGTTGGCAAAAAAAATTTAATACAAAAGTCTTACCATAAAACATAAAAACGAGGTCAGCAATTTTTTACTGACCTCATACACTTTAAGGTCTGCAAATAATTATGTTGGTTTTTTTTTTGGTCGATTACAAATTATGTTGAATTTTTTTTGTTATGATAAATTTGATTTATGCAAATCTAATTAACTTGGCTTTGTAGATATTTTGCATGAATATACATACATACATACATATATTTTTATTTTAACGAACCAATCAAACACAAGATCTACAACAATAAAACATGAAATGACAGAATAGAATGATCGTGAAACTACAGTTACTGCCTTTTTCTTTCAATAATGTTAATTAATTTTTACTAACATTTAAAGAATCAAACATGATTTTTTTATCTTATTTTCCATATTTTTAATTTTTTTTTACTAGTTTATAAAAACACTGACATAAACTTTAATAAAGCCAGGTTGACAGTAGGGTTTTTTGGTTCCAGGTGCCCAAAACCGGACTCAGCGAGTCTGTGGTTAAATTCCTGGATTCAACACCCTGTTTAAGACTTGGCAAGTCTCATGATTTGACTTATGGTTTTGTCTGTATACATCGGCATGCATTCGCACTGTATCCCTTCCTTCTTTTAGCTTGAAATTTAAAATTGAACTTGACCACCGTTTTTTTGATGTTTTGAGAACATTCAAGTTTATGTATGTTTCCATGTCTGTCCGAATAGACACTAACCTGATAAATTAAACTTTTTTCTAATCAAATCTGTTTATTATATACGTAATTGTTTTAAAAGCATTCGCTATTATAAAAACTTTTGATTAAAAAGATTAAAGTTAATAAGTTTCATTTAGCGCGTATTTAAAAAAACTTATAAAAAAAAAAAAAATTTCATTTATTAATTAAATAGTTGATTAATATCTCCAGTTTAATGTGACATTTTATACAGCGCTATTATGCCAAAGAATTCAAAAGTGTAGGACTATTTCACCCTATGTACCAATTTGAAAAGTGGTAAAGGCAGTATGTGTTCAACGATAATATCAAACAAAGATGGAAATACTTCATCAATGATTAAACATTTAAAAGTCAAACACTGAATTTCTTTACCAACATGAGAAAAAATATGAGAAAATTCCACCAACAAACGATTTAAAACTATGGACACTTTCGTTTCTGTACCAAGAAAGCCTTTAGAAGAAACTGTCGCTAAAATGGCTGCTCTTGATGGTATATCAGTTAGGGCGATTGCAAAGTCTAGGTTTATTCGTGAAAGTTTAGTAAAACCAAGTTATAATCTTCTTTAAACCGAAAGAGATGTCATGAATTTAATTCATAAATTTTATGAAAAAAAGAAGTTGGAAATATTAGAACTGTTACAAGAAAAATTTAAATAAGGCCGACGATTTAGCATTACACTTGATGAATGGACAAGTATGAATTCGGAAATATCTAAAAATCAATTTGCATGGAATTGACTCTGAAGTGTATAATCTGGGTTTAGTGAGAATTTTAAGTGTACAGCTGTACAGATAATTGAAAAACTAGAACATTTAAACACATATAATATTAATTTTAAAAAACATATAGCTGTTTCAATTAGCGACAGTGCAAGTGTAATGATAAAATTTGGACGAGAATCACTTAGTATCTATAATTTGTGTTTGAATCACACTTTACACTTAGTTGTTTTTGATGTACTATGGTGATGACCATGGTCAAGATGGTATTGATGATAATCAAGATGAAAATTATTATTCTGACGAGAGCAGCAATGACGTTGAAGAGTACGAACATGTTGAATTAACTAATTTAGGAAATGTATAAGAAAATATAAAAAGTGTTTGTATAATTGTTAAATTTTTTGAAAATTCTTCTGTGCGAAATAATATTTTGCAAGAAAAGGTCAAAATAGTTTTAGGAAATGAACTTCAGCTAGTGTTAGACGTAAGAACTTGTAGAAACTCATAGCTCGAAATGGTATCTAAATTTTTAAATTATTTTAAATCATTAAAAAAGCTCTTCAAGATATTGGATGTTCAAGATATTGGATGTTACTTTTTTTTTGTAATGGTAACATTTTTTTTTTGCAACTTACTTTTTTTGCCACTATAGGGTAGTGTGGGGTAATGTGAGTCTACAGGGCTATCTGGGTCTAACTCATATTTATCTGTTATGTTAATAATGGCTTAAAAGGATCCCATACCTTTGAGACATGTTGTGTTCATATTAAAGAGAATGATAAAAAATATATATTTGGGCTAAATTTTTGAAAATCAGAAGACCATATTTTTGACAATACTAAGCTGCGGCTCAGTATTGTCAAAAGTATGATATTCCATTAGATTCTTTTGATATTTGTAATCTAGTAGCCCAATTTTTCACAACGATGATAAAAACTCCTTTTAAAAATGGAATTCCTGGGAAAGAGTAGATAATTTCTTTTAGGAAGAGTCATGCTGATAAACTGTTATGAAATATTTACATTGTCCAGAGTACATATATTGTACATACTTGATACTTACATTGTCCTGAAATACTTACATTATCTAGAGCTAAAAGTTTAACACATGAAGTTGTAGATAAATTTTCTACTATTTTATTTAATGTAATTGATAATAATTCAAGTAGTATATACAAATTTGATGAGACTGGCCTTTTCACAAATCACTTAACAAAAAAAATATTTTTACATTCAAAAAGCAAAGACGCATATGAACTTGCTGTTTCTTCTGGTAAAACTATGTATTCTGTGCAGATGGAAGATATCTTTCACCATTTGTTGTTGAGAAGGTCGTCTGTATTTTAAATGGATAGAAAATGAACCACCAGGATGTGTTTTAGGGGCGGATGGATGCAAGACTAATTGTTTGAAAACTGGTATTTTACTTGAATTTCTATTATCTACTTTTTTTTTTTCTTTCTTTTAAGTTCTTTTTATTTTCCATTTTTTATTTATGTATTTACACTGAACAGCCTTTGTTGTTTATTAAGTCATTAGAAATGATTAAATAGAGGTAAATACATTCTTCATTTATGTTTGTGGAGCACTTTATACCATTTGTTGAACAAAAAACCAATACTCTTGATCTATGATGGTCATGGTAGTCATTTAACATATGGTACCATAAAAGTGGCCGTGGAATGTCATTTAACATATGGTACCATAAAAGTGGCCGGCAAATGCTTGGAATCGATGGTCTTTATGGTTGATGGTTTTTATGAACAATCAAAATTTTAATTTTTTTTATGTTTAAATTTTTATAGAACTAATACTAAGGTATTAGCTCTTCATAAACTTTATAAATACAAAAATAATTTAATGCTTGAAAATAATTATTCATACATTGCATATTTATAAAGTTTATGGTACCATAAGTGTACCATAAAAGTGGCCATCGAAAATCACGATCCTTGCTAAATAATTTTAATCTGTACCTGGAAAAAATTAAAAACATTTAAAGGTAAATATTTAGATGTACTAACTGAATGTGCAGTTTATTTGTTTAAAATATATTTTTGGTTTATTTCATATACTAATGGGTATTACCTGAATTATATAACCCATCAGATTTAAAGTTATTTGTGATTTATTCAAAATTTGATAAAATATTTTGCTGTCCACTTGTTTGAAAGGCCTTTTCAAGTTTATTTTAAATACTTAAAAGCACTCAATCTGTATAATCAATCTGCTTATAAGATGTTTAGGTTTATTAAAATACACATATAGGAGCTACCTGTGATTGCGAACCATCTGCTTTTGAAGACACTGGTTTACTTCAAATACTTACAGGTACCACCTGAGTTAGTAATTTATCTGTTTTAAAACGATTTGATTAAAATATACTTACAAGTCGTTATTACAGGTTGTTGCTGCAAGTTTTGAGGTATTACCTGAGTTTCTTTTTATGTTTTAATTTATTTAGAATACATACAAGTATTACCTGACTTCTCAATCAATCTGTTTTAAATTTATTTCTCTATTATTCTAAAATACTTAAAGGTATTACCTGACTTGGCAATCCATCTGTTTTTATGAGACTTCTAATTAATTTAAATATACTTACAGGAGTTAGCTAAGGTTGTAAACTATCTGAATTAAAAAAATTTGTGATTTATTAAATATACTTACAAGTATGTTCTAAGCTTGTAATCCATCTGCTTTAAAGATGTTTCTGATTAAAAAATACTTCCAGGTGCTACCTGTGTTTGTAAACCATCTGTTTCGAAGGTACTTCTAATTTATTAAAAATATTTGCAGGTACCACCTGAGTTTGAAATCCATCAAATTTTAAGAGGTTTCTTTATTAAAATATACTTACAGGCTCTACCTGAGTTTATAAACCAACTGTTTTGAAACTTCACACTATTTATAAATACCTCCAGGAACAAGTTGAGTTTTCCAACAATTTAAAAGACATTTTTCAATCATTTAAAAATACTTACAGGCTTTACCTGAGTTTGTAATCCATCTTTTTTTTAATTTTTGTGATTTATTTAAATACTTACAGATGTAATAAGAGCTTGTAAACAATCTGTTTTAAAATCAATTGTGATTCATAAAAATACTTACAGGTGCTACCTGAGTTCACAATCCATCTGTTTTAAAGACAATGCTTATTTATTCAAAAATATTTGCAGGTATTACCTGAACTTGTAATCCATTTGTATTAAAAACATTCCTCATTTCTTTGAAAAAAAAACATACAGGTGCTACCTGAATTTTACCAGCCATGTTTCATTTTTTTTTAAACACTTAAAGGTACTACCTGATTTTGCTATCCATCTGTTTTTATACACTTCAGAATTATTGGAAATACTTACAGGTACTACCTGAAATTGTGATCCATCTGTTTTGAGTTTTTTTTTTTTTTTTTAATTTTTTCAAATACTTACAGATACTAGTACTGCAATTTAATTTTCTAAATCATTATGATTTATTTAAAAAATACTTACAGGTTTTTACCTGAGTTTGTAAACCATCTGTTTTAAATTAGAGACAAATGCAGATTTTTATTAGAAATATATGTCAAAATAGTAAAAAGTATATTTGCAAAATAATTGTGGAATTTAAACAAAACTTATGAAAAAAATAAGTGGGACAGGAGGTATCAATACCCACCTATACCCTCCACTATACAGCATATCGAGGACAGCAAATTTCACACAACGATGAGAACCAAACTAATAGCAATAAATAAAAGAAATTACATAAGAAATTTGTCAAACTTTATACTTTGTAAATTTATGAAATTTATTTATAGAAACTGTGTGAAAAATTTACAAGTTTATTAACTAAAGCTACCTTTTCTTAATACTAAATATTAACAATGCACATATGTGCATCATGTGATCTACCTTGCAATTTGTTAAACCATCTTTTTTTCTTTGAAGCTTTACATTAACATTATCTATTTGAAATTAACCATCTTTAACAAAATAACTTATCTTGATGCACGATTAATTGCTGGTGTTTTTTAAACACCAAATGGTGTTTTTTAGACACCAAATGTTTGCATACAAAAAAAAAAAAAAAAAAAAAAATACTAATAAAGCTTTTAAAAAAAAAATGTCACCTTGCATATCCCTTTCATGTTCAAATTCAACAAAAGCATATCCTCTAGGTTTTCGCTTAACAAAATTATAAACCATGTGTATCTAAATTAATTTTAAGAAAAGTTTATTTTTCGCTTAACAAATTTATAAACCATATGTATCTAAATTAATTAAATCTTTTTTTTATACCTAAAACAAAATCTAAATAGTATAAATATTAAACTGTTCTTTCCAGATTCTATTATTTTTTTGGTTTTAACTACTTATACAAAGAAAAGGTTCTATCTGGAAAAACATTAGTTTTTAAATAATAGAGATGCTGAGAGTTTTCAAGTGTTTTTGAAAAGAAAAAAATTAAACTTTTACTATACATTAAATTAAATAATCAAAAGTTGTTGTTTTATTTTGCACTATTTTTTATTCTTTTAAAAACTGTCAAATTAATTTTGGTAATGGTATATAATTAAAATAATACAAAATACAATGTAATCAGCGTGGAAAATATGAAATCGAATGTGAACGGTCAATTTGACCGACGAACACTTGGAATTGATGGTCTTTATGGTTGATGGTTTTTATGAACAGTCAAAATTTAAATTTTTTTAGAACTAATACTAAGGTATTAGTTCTTCATAAACTTTATAAATACAAAAATAATTTAATACTTGAAAATGATTATTCATACATTGCATATTTAGAAAGTTTATTAAGAACTAATACTAAGGTATTATTTCTTCATAAACTTTATAAATACAAAAATAATTTAATGCTTTTAAATAATTATTCATACATTGCAAATCGAAAGTGGAAAAAGTTACGAGAAAAAAGATAATGATTGAGAGAAATAAATTATGACAAAGCACAATTGAAATGGAAAATGTTCTTGGTTAAATATTGCAATTATTATATTATTACATAATTATTGAAATAATGAATTAAATATTTTTAATAAAATGATAATATAAATTTATGATAATAAAATAAGATCTTCTATCGTTTATGAAAAAAAGATTTTCACCACCAGTAAAATGAAAGTAATAAAAGTATAGTGCAGGTGATCTGCAAGAATTGTTAATTTATTTTTTAATAAATAATTAATTTATTTTTTAATTAATGTAAATGTAAGTGATTTGTAATTAGTGAAGTAAAAAAAATAATAGATATAGTTTACATCACATATAATATTCATCAAAAAACAAGATTGTAAACAAAACTATTTAAATTCTTTTTTGAAATTTGAATGACTATGTGAAGTTTTAGTATATGGTTTTTTAAATTATATCCTGATTATTTGTCCAGCATTTTTCAAAACTTTAATTTTTATTCAATTAGTTTTATTCAACGAATCTGTCTGGCAAGAATTTATTTAGGGAGATTAAAATAGCAATTTTAGTCATTTTGGGTGGTCATTTATCGTTGACCAGGAATTATTTTCCATGCTGAAAGTAATATACAAAATTATTTAAATGTAATATATGTAAATATATATTTAAATTGTATTTTCAAGTATGCATTTAATAATACAAACATGTAGAGGCTTATATTAAAAAGCTTTTTTTTCTTTTTTTTTTTTTTTTTGCAGGCTGTAGAGTGTGAGTTGTGAGTTTTAAAGGTCCCTGGTAGAGACTTGGAAATTACAGTCACAGAAAGGCTTGAATATTAAGAGCCATTATCTGAGAAATATAGGCAAAATAGGCAAAGTCTAGAAGTGATGTCTTCAAAATCTCTTCACTTTCATATATTTTATAGAACACAATGAAATTAGGCCATAGTTAAATTTTTTTTTGAAAACTCCCATTGTTTGCGGAGATATCCATTTATTCTTGTCACGATAAGAAACCAACTCCCTCTGATTGCATGCAGGGGGAGCTTAAAAAGGATCTCACTTTTCTATAGGATCTTTTTTTTTGGACAGGCACTGTCCAAAAAAATCATCTTTAAAAAGCTGATACTCTCAGTGCTGGGCACAGCACTGAGAGTATCAGCTTTTTAAAGATGATCTCCTATTTTAATCAAACATTCCAGTTATTTATTTTCAATTAAAAGTTTTGAATAATGAATTTTGAAGACTTATTATAGCAGGTGTTGATTCTACTAATGACTATCAACAAGAGTGGGGAGTCCAATACAGTTTTCCTATGAAAAAATAGATGTCTAATAAATATTTTTATAAAAATTTGTATTTCCTAGATTTGTAATAAATATTTTTTATAACAGTTTGCAAAATGAAATTACAGGTTCAGTAATGAAAGTTCAAGTGAGAAAATTTAAAATTAAATATTTATAAATAAAAAAGTTGTGTTGTTATCAACTTAAAGTCCGATTGACTTTAATTTGACTAAATTGATTTAAAGTCGAACAACAGCAACAAGATATGTATTTATTTTCCTCAAAATTTACAATCATATTTTATAATTACAATAATATATTAATAATAGGGTCAGGTCAGGTCTATCCTGCTAGTGTCAGGTCAGGTCTCTTCAGGTCAGGTCTGGTCATCCTACTACCCAGGTCAGGTCAGGTTTATCCTGCAAACTGGTAACATGTAACCCACTACAATCTGTTTCATGTCCTGCTGCCTTGTAGGACATGTCTTTTTAGACAAAGGCTAGGAGATGCCAACTCCAACATAAAACACCCCCTGCCTTGGGGCTCTTGGTTGAGTAAAGGCTAGAGATAGTATCTTGATACAAATACTCATCTTGGGCAGATGTTGAATGCATCAGCAGCTGTCTTGTAGAAGGCCTCCTAGGCAAAGACTTAAGGGGTAAACAGAATCTATCTGTTGACCAGCCTCACACCCCTTCTTCATCTATTAGGCTGGCGCAGATGTATTTTAATACATTGTTTCCAGTTTAGGATGTTAAATGCTAGATCTTCTTGACTCAATGCATGGGTTTTGCTTGTGTCTCTGTTTTTATGACTAGGCAACTCATTATATTATATCCTAATGAGGATACAGCTCTAAAACTCAGTTTTATGGTTCTAAGGCCGGCTGTTCCTATCGTTCACAAATATTCATGGTTTTTGAAGTAACTTTACTTCTGTTGAGTCTTATCTCTTGCAAAGTTCACCAGACCTACTTGCTTTTTGTGAGACTAATTTGAGTTCAGCTGTCTCATCTTGTGATCTTAGTGTTGATGGCTATCTTCCTTTAATTCCAAAAGACTACAATAGTCACATGCTTGGCCTGGGCATTTACATTCGCAAGAATTCACCCCTTTGTCAAAAAACTAGAATTGAATCCACAGACTACTCTTTTATGTGCATTCGTTTAGCACCACTTCACTCAATCACCTTTCTCTTTGCTCTATATCACTCTCCTTCATCTCAAGACTGCACTCTTCTTGATGTTATTTCTGATCATATTGACCAAACCCTCTCTCATAATCCATCAGCCAATATTGTTGTTGTCGGTAACTTTAATGTTCATCACGCTGAATGGCTTGGCTCTAATGTCAGTGACTCTGCAGGCATTAAAGCCCACAACTTTTGCCTTTCTCAATCCCTAACTCAAATAGTCAACTTTTCATTTACCTTCTCTACTCGGCTTACGCCTAGTCTCTAATCCTAGTCAGTGCTCTGTTTCTCCACATTCACCCATAGGTGCTTCCGATCATGGTTTGGTCTTTCTAAAACTGTTATCTCATTCTTCTTTATCATCAGAATCCCCCTATCATCGTACATCTACCAACGACCTTAAAGCTGACTGGGACTCTTGAGACTCCATGAGTTTCTTCATGATGGCCCTTGGGTAGAAATCTTTCGTCTTCCTGTTGACAAATGTGCTTCTTACATAACTTTGTGGATTCAGGCTGGCATGGAATCCTTTATTCCCTCTCAATGATTTCAGGTCAAGCCTCACTCTTCTCCATGGTTTTCCTCATATTGTGCTGCTGCAATTGCCAATCGAAACCATTACTTCCATGTCTATCATCAAAACAATTCTCTAGAAAACAGACATCTGTTGATTACTGCTAGGAACCATCGTAAAAAGGTTTTGTCTAACGCCTAAGCCCGCTATTCTCAGATCATAAAACCTCGTATTTCATCACAAAAATTAGGCTATCGTGACTTATGGAGAACCTTTAATAGTATCAATAATAAGGACAAGTCTGTAATTCCATCTCTTTTGTATGCTTCAGACTTTGTCACCTCACCTAAAGACAAAGTTGAATTGTTTGCTAAACTTTTTATCAATATAATCTCTTGATTCCACTAGTTGTGTTCTACCTGATATAGCCATCAAACAGGTTGATCCATTGCTTGACATCCGTATCACTCCAGCTTCTGTATCTAAAATGATTTCCTGCTTAGACTCTTCTACAGATTGTGGCCCGGACAACATACCTGTTATAGTCTTGCAGAAGTGTCCTCCGAAGCTGTCGTCTATCCTTTCAAAACTATTCAACAAGGGCTTACCAGAGTCTTGTTTTCCAGCCTGCTGGAAAGCAGCATCTGTTATCCCTATTTTTAAAAATTCCGGAGAATCTAATTCGTCTAACTACCGCCCCATTAGTCTTCTTTCTATCATAAGCAAGGTTTTTGAATCTTTAATGAACAAACACTCAGAACATTCTCTCATCTTGAATCTAGTAACTTTCTGATCACCAATATGGATTTCGATCTTCTTGTTCTACAGCTGATTTGCTAACAGTAATAACCGATAGGTTTTATCGCGCATTAGATAAAGGTGGAGAGGTTAAGGCCATCGCTCTTGACATTTCTAAAGCGTTTGATAAAGATTGGCATGCTGGTCTTATCCATAAGCTTTCTTCTTACAGTGTATCTGGAAACATCTTTAAGATTATTGAATCCTTTCTTTCCAATCGTAGTATAAAAGTTGTCTTTAATGGACAGCACTCTTCTTCTTATTCTGTAACCTCAGGGGTTCCTCAAGGTTCAATACTTGGTCCTATATTCTTTTTAATTTAAATTAACGATCTTTCAGATATTCTCACATCTAAGGTGGCATTGTTCACTGACAATACTACCATTTATTCTTGTCACGATAAGAAGCCAACTCCCTCTGATTGCTTGCAGGGGGCATTTGAGCTTGAAAAGAATCTTACTTCTGTTACAGCATGGGGCTCACAGTGGCT